AAAGTTCATTTTTAGAGTTATGAGAGATATTTGTTTGATTTATTGTGAAAATTGCTATGGGATAGGATTAGCAGGAGAAAAAATTCACATTTTTAATTTTGACAGCATTATTTGTATGCAGCATTTCCTGAAATTACAAAAATTAATCTGGCATGTTTCTTTGTTGTTTTACAATAGCAATAATAATACGGGTTATGTTCTTATATCATATATTTTATGATGGTATGATGTTTAACCCTGCCACATTTTTGCAATTGTTCCAAGTCCAGAACCTCTAGCCTTTGTTAGTCTTGTATGTTTTTTTTAATTTTGGTTCATTTATATGTTTCGGAGTTTAGTGTGACGTCCATTTTCGCTGAACTAGTATACATTATTGTTTAGGGGCCAACTGAAGCCCACCTCCAGAGGCTGGATTATTGCTGTGTTGAAGACACATTGGTGGCATTGGGCTGTTTTCTGCTCTTTGGTCGGGTTGTTGTCTCTTTCACCCATTCCCCATTTCCTTTCTCAATTTTACGTAAAAGGAATTCTGAATTTACAGTAATGTTTCTCTTGAAATATTATGTTAAAGATTCAGATATGAAAATGATGTTACTTTTGTATTCTTACAGGCTGTTGAATGTAAGCTTTGTGAAATCCGTCCTTCACCAATTAAATGTCCTGATGGAACCTGGACAGTGGAAGCTAAGGAACAGTTTAAACATCTAGTTATAAACAAGAATTTCATTGGTCAGGTAAGTTGGTGAAAATTCTTTGGAACCAATTAAATGTCCTGATGGAACCTGGACAGTGGAAGCTAAGGAAAAGTTTAAACATCTAGTTATAAACAAGAATTTCATTGATCAAATAAGGAGGTAAAAATCCTTTGGAACAATTTGAATATCAGGATAAAGTGAAATAACTGTATTAATTGGTCAGATAACATCTTTTTAATGTGCTTATCCAAGAGGCTTTGTCCTTTTGCATTGGCAATTGACCCATCACTTATTCAAGATTTAGCTCAAAATGATTTTTATGCCTCACCTACGATAGCAGTAGGGGCATTATGTTTTCTGGTCTGCGTTCCTTCGTTCGTCCGTCCGTCTGTCCCGCTTCAGGTTAGAGTTTTTGATGAAGTTGAAGTCCAATCAACTTGAAACTTAGTACACATGTTCCCTATGATATGATCTTTCTAATTTTATTGCCAAATTAGAGTTTTGACCCCAATTTCACGTCCACTGATAAAGAAAATGATAGTGTGAGTGGGGCATCCGTGTACTATGGACACATTTTTGTTATAAACATCAATTAGTAATTTGTGTAGCCCATTGCTAAATAAAGGTTGTTATTATAAAGCAGCTGCAGTGTTATGATAATATTCTGCAAGTTCTCGTGTTAATGTCTCATACTATACCCCTTTGCAAACAAAGCTTTGGAGGTATATAGGAATCATTTTGTAGGTCCATCTGTCTGTCTGTTGAGCGCTCTTATGTGTACAATTCTTGTCAGATTTTTATGAAATTTATATTATAGGTTTATATCATCAATGTTTTTGATGAGTTCGAAAATCAGTACCAATCAATTATTTTAAAAGGGTTATGCCCCTTGGAAATATTGATTGTATGGAAAATTGCATTGTTAGCACTCTCATGTGTTCAATTCTTGCCAGATTTTTGTGAAATTTATATTATAGGTTTATATCACCAATTTCTCAGACAAATTTGAAAATTGGTGCCGATCAATTATTTCTAAAAGAGTTATGTCCCTTGGAAATATTGATTATATGAAAATTGCATTGTTAGCGCTCTCATGTGTACAATTCTTGCTAGAACTTATATCATAGGTTTATATCAGCAATGTCTTTGACACTTTCTAAAATAAGTGCTGATCAAATATTCTAACGAGATTATGCCCCTTGGAAAAATTAATTATAACGGAAATCGCATTGCATTTGCTCTGAAGCCTTCATTTCTCTCAGATATTTATAAATTGTTTTGAAGAACAACAAAAAAGTACTTTTTAGCTCACCTGGCCTGAAGGGCCAAGTGAGCTTTTCTCATCACTTGGCGTCCGTCGTCCGTCGTCGGCGTTAACTTTTTACATTTTGAACTTCTTCTAGAGAACCACTGAATGGAATGAAACCAAACATGGCATGAATGTTCCTTATGAGGTGCTCACCAAGTGTTGTTACTTTGTAGCCGATCCATCATCCAAGATGGCCGCCAGCGGGGGACTTAGTTTAACATAGGACCCTATGGGAAATGCATACAAATGACTTCTTTTAGAGAACCGCTGAATGGAATAAAACCAAACATGGCATGAATGTTCCTTATGAGGTGCTGACCATGTGTTGTTACTTTGTAGCCGATCCATCATCCAAGATGGCCGCCATCGGGGAACTTAGTTTAACATAGGACCCTATGGGAAATACATACAAATGTCTTCTTTTAGAGAACCACTGAATGGAATGAAACCAAACATGGCATGAATGTTCCTTATGAGGTGCTGACCAAGTGTTGTTACTTTGTAGCGGATCCATCATCCAAGATGGCCGCCAGCGGGGGACTTAATTTAACATAGGACCCTATGGGAAATACATAAAAATGTCTTCTTTTAGAGAACCACTGAATGGAATGGAACCAAACATGGCATGAATGTTCCTTATGAGATGCTGACCAAGTGTTGTTACTTTGCAGTCGGTCCATCATCCAAGATGGCCGCCAGCGGGGGGACTTAGTTTAACATAGGACCCTATGGGAAATACATACAAATGTCTTCTTTTAGAGAACCACTGAATGGAATGAAACCAAACATGGCATGAATGTTCCTTATGAGGTTCTGACCAAGTGTTGTTACTTTGTAGCCGCTCCATCATCCAAGATGGCCGCCAGCGCGGGACTTAGTTTAACATAGGACCCTATGGGAAATACATACAAATGTCTTCTTTTAGAGAACCACTGAATGGAATGAAACCAAACATGGCATGAATGTTCCTTATGAGGTGCTGACCAAGTGTTGTTACTTTGCAGTCGGTCCATCATCCAAGATGGCCGACAGCAGGGGACTTAGTTTAACAAAGGACCTATGGGAAATACATACAAATGTCTTCTTTTAGAGAACCACTGAATGGAATGAAACCAAACATGGCATGAATCTTCCTTATGAGATGCTGACCAAGTGTTGTTACTTTGTAGCCGATCCATCATCCAAGATGGCCGCCAGCTGGGGGACTTAGTTTTACATAGGACCCTTTGGGAAATACATAAAAATGTCTTCTTTCAGAGAACCAATAAATGGAATGGAACCAAACATGGCATGAATGTTCCTTATGAGATGTTGACCAAGTGTTGTTACTTTGCAGTCGATCCATCATCCAAGATGGCCGCCAGCGGGGGACTTAGTTTAACATAGGACCCTATGGGAAATACATACAATTGTCTTCTTTTAGAGAACCACTGAATGGAATTGAACCAAACATGGCATGAATGTTCCTTATGAGTTGCTGACCAAGTGTTGTTACTTTGCAGTCGATCCATCATCCAAGATGGCTGCTAGGGGGGGGGGGGGGGGGCTTAGTTTAACATAGAACCCTACGGGAAATACATACAAATGTCTTCTTTAAGAGTACCACTGAATGGAATGAAACCAAACAAGGCATGAATGTTCCTTATGAAGTGCTGACCAAGTGTGGCTACTTTGTTGCCGATATACTGTTCAAGATGGCCACCAGGATATTTTATTAAATAACGGGACCAATATTAATCAAAATTTGGCCTCAATCATTATTTGGGTATCTGTTATGATTTTTATCTATCTTTACATGATTTCTAAAACCAAAGTAGAGTCAGGTGAGCGACACAGGCTCTTGAGAGCCTCTAGTTTTTAGTTATTGCCCTACGATAGATAAAATATGTGCAATGAGGGGGACATTGGAACTCTGTTCTTTTATTTTTCTTTGCATGATTGGAATGAAACTTATATAGATGGAATTAATACAAGGGGAAAGGGGAAAAGTCTATTGATTTTGAGGTTAAAGTTCAAGGTAACTGTTACAAAAAATATTTCTTTTGGAAAATGGTTTCTAGATGGTAACTAAAGTTTTCATTGCTTGATTGAAATAAAATTATACAAACGGAAGAAATAGCGAAGGCAAAGTAGCGTATTGATTGTGTAGTCAAAGGTTAAGCTTGAAGGTAACTGTTTCTAAAAATATAGATTTTAGAGAGAAAAAACTTATTTCTGTATGGTAATTTGAGTTTCCTTTTTTGGTTTCAAATGAAAGTTGTATAGATGGTAATTTGGTTAATTGCAATCAAGGTATTTTCTCATTGGGATTATTGATTTTTGCCAACTGTCATTTTAGAACTACCTTGGCTTGTTGCCTTTTAATGACCACTGGATGTTAAGCAAGCAACAATCAATCTATCAATCCTTTTAATGAAATATCATATATACAGGTATAGCTACCAAGACTAAAAAAAATTGCATAAATAAGAGACTAGATTAAAGTGTGAAAATTGTTGAAATACAGAGACTTCACATTATTTTATGACAAAAATAGGTGACAAATTCTTGCAAAAACTCAAGTTAGATATCAAATAAAGTGTTTATCCAAGACGTTTTTGACAGTATGAAATATTGGAGGTCATAGTTCTTTAATCAGATGATTTTTTTTACCCCCTTGATGTTTTAAATTTGACATTAGTTTGGGGACTTTGGCAGATCTTTGGTAGTCTCTTCTAAATTTATTCACTACTTTTCTAGACTAGGTAATTTAGAACTTGACATGTTGTTAAGACACCTGTCTATTGTTGAAGATCATATGTTGACCACTAATTGAGTTGTAGGGTAGCTGTCTCATAGACTATATACCAAACACTGCTTTTTATTGTTGCATATGTAAAACTTTCGTTTTGAAAGGAATACATGTATATTACTTATAGATAGAATAAAAATAACCTGTTTGTTCAGCAGTACAGCTTAGCTGACATCATGGATCGATTATTTAAGATAAAAGGTAATAAAACTTGATACTTTATTAAGAGATAAGGAAGCCAGAAAACATGCTGTAATGATTTTCATCACTGTAGATTTCTTGACTGCTTTTATGATGTTTAACGAACACGCGGTCTCCTTTCTTTAATTTGAGTACAATACTGGCAGAACTTGTATGAGGACCTTGTCCAGGATACATCCCTACAGTTTTTTCGTCATTTTTCCATAGAGATGCATGAAACCATTTTCCATGATTAGACATTATTGTTGCGCTTATTTGATAATACCCTTTCTTTGGTGCAGTAAAAATTCCAGAATTTGTGTCATATCCTTTCCCAGCATTGGTCCAAACTTTGTCAAACTTAACAATTTCTAGAGGGCCAATAGATTTAGGAGCTGACACAGAAGTTGTGAAAGCAATAACATTCTTCTGACAAGAACACGTAGAAACTTCTGCAAAGAACAAAGTTTTTATTATTGTTTGAAAACTGGATCAATGGCAAAGTCAAGTTTTTAGTGTCAGAGTGGTGGGAGTTTTTAAAATCATTACCTAATATTTAACAGATACAAAAACAAAAACAATTATGTCAAATTTTTTATATGAAATACTACCATTACCACACTTTATCACTAAGGTTGAATCTTTTTGCATATAAAGTTTTTATACGACCGCAAAAAAAATGCGTTCGTAAATTGCTATCACGTCGTCGTCGTCATCCGAAGACATTTGGTTTCCGCACAATAACTTTAGTTTAAGTGTATGGATCTCTATGAAATTCAATCAAAAGGTTCAATACCACAAAAGGAAGATTGGGATTGTTTTTGGGGTGATGCTCCCAACTGTTTAGGAAAAAAAAGGGGGCCCAAAACAAGCATTTTTCTAGTTTCAGGACAATAACTTGTGTATAAGTATTTTGATTGATCTGAAATTGTACCACAAGGTTCAATACTACAAGTTGAAGGTTGGGATTCATTTTGGGGGTAATTGCCCAAATGGTCAGGAATTAGGGGCCAAAACAAGCATTTCTCGTTTTTTATATAGGTTAGACCGTTGGTTTTCCTGTTTGAATGGTTTTACACTAGTCATTTTTGGGGCCCTTTATAGCTTGCTGATCGGTGTGAGCCAAGGCTCTGTGTTGAAGGCCGTACTTTGACCTATAATGGTTTACTTTTTCAAATTGTGACTTGGATGGAGAGTTGTCTCATTGGCACTCATACCACATCTTCTTATATCTATTTTTCTAGTTTTCAGACAATTACTTGTGTATGGATGTCTCTTGAATTGTACCACATTTTACAAAAAGAAAATTTATTCAAATATTTTGGAAGGGGGGGGGGGGGGTAAAAAAAAATTTTTGGGGGGAGTCAATTTTCCATTATTTTTTTGGAAGGGGGTAAACAAATTTTTTTTGGGGGGTCAATTTTTTTTCCACAAGATTTAAGAAATTATCGATTTTCCATTATTTTTTTTGGAGGGGGGTAAAAAAAAAAAAATCTTTTTGGGGGGGGGGGGTCAATTTTTTTTCCTCAAGATTTAAGAAATTAACAATTTTCCCCCCAAAAAAATTTGGGTCACAATTTATTTTGCTAATTCTTTGTATATAGTCTGAAATCAGATATACTAAATATTGCACAACAGCACAGTGTATTGCATAACAGCAAGAAATCTTCAATTGAATATAAATTCAAATCATATAACCAATTTTAAGTTCAATTTTTGTGTCAGAAACCTATAATGTGTCAAATATTTAATTACAATCCAAATTCAGACCTGTATCACGCTTGAATATTGTGTCCATTTTTGCCCCAACTGTTCAGGGTTGGACCTCTGCAGTCGTATCCAGATGCACTTGGTGAAGCACATTTTTTACAGGAGTACAGCACTACATTAGAATTGTTAAACAAAAATCTGTATTCAATCCATCCATCCCATGAAATTTTCATCACATTTTTCTCAGAAACTACAAATCAGAGATTCTAGCAATTTAGTTTAAAGCTTTAATTGAGCATGCTTTACCCTGTAATGAGTTTTCACATCGTTACTCATTAACTTCCTGTTACAAAAGTTGCAGAATGCGAGACAGGGATTGCAATCCGGTGATGGCAGCGACAGCGTAAAATATTTGTATAAAGCTTTATATTTCAGAAGGTAGAAGACCTGGATGCTTCATACCTTGTATACAAATACCTTCTGTTACGAAGTGTCCGTCTGTCATATGTTCATTGTCCTTGACCTCATTTTCATGGTTCAGTGACTGCTTGAAAAAAAAATTGCAGTTTTTGGCAAGTGAATTACTAACTTATTACGATTAATGAGATAATTATATTTGGTATATGGGTTCCTTCTTCTACATGTCCGTCAGGTAGGGTTCACCTGACCTCGATCTCATTTCATGGATCAGTGATCAAGGTTAAAGTTGCATGGTCAAGTCTGTATCTCAGATACTATAAGCATTAGGTCAACTTTATTTGGTATATGGAATGATTATAAGGTGTACATGTCAATGATGTCAGATTGGCAAATTTCATCTGACCTTGACCTCAATTTAATGGTTTATTGGACAATGTTTAGTTTTTGTGGTTTGGTCTATTTCTCAGATACTATAAGCAATAGGGCCACTATATGTGGTGTAGGGGATGATTGTAAGGTGTACATGTCTGTCTGGCAGGTTTCATCTGACTTTGACCTCATTTTCATGGTTCATTGGACACTGTTTAGTTTTTTTGCGGTTTGGTCTATTTCTCAGATATAATAAGCAATAGGTCAATTATAATTGTTGTATGGAATGATTGTAAGGTGTACATGTCTGTCTGGCAGGGTTCATATGACCTTGACCTCATTTTCATGGTTCATTGGTCAATGACAAGTTTTCATATTTTTGTTAGTTTAACAGATAGTATAAGCAATAGGTCAACTATATTTGGTGTATGGAATGATTGTAAGGTGTACATGTCTGTCTGGCAGGGTTCGTATGACCTTGACCTGATTTTCATGGTTTATTGGTCAATGTTAAGATTTTGTGGTTTATTTGGTTTCTCAGGTACTATTTTAGTGATAGGATCACTATGTTTGGTGTATCGAATGATTGTTAGATGAACATGTCTGTCTGGCATGGTTCATCTTACTGTGACCTCATTTTCATAGATTCAGTGTGTGCACTCTTGTTTAACTTCATTACTTTTGTGTTGCCTGCATCATGGTATGAGACATAAGAATGCTAATTTGTCAGCAGTGACGGCATAACCTTTTGGCAAGACTTTCTTTTGAACCCTCATCATGTATGTATATGCTTATTCCATCAACAAAAGGGGTTTAAAAGGAAGTCTTTCTAAACTTTTTATGCCCCGCCATAGCGAAGGGAGCATTATGTTTTACCCTTGTCCCTCTACGTCTGTCCCTACATCCGTACGTCTGTACGTCCCAAAATTGGTTTCCGTTCTCTAACTTTAGTTTGCCTCAACCAAATGTTATGAAACTTATACACAATGCTTTCTACCAAAAACAGAGATCAAGTTTGAATTTTGGTGGCGTCACTTTTACTGTTCTTGAGTTATGTTCCTTTATAACCTTATATGCAAGCGGGTGCATCATCTGTGTCGGGACACATTCCCCATTTATTTATATACTACATGTAATAGGTTCTGCGTCAGAATAATGTGTCTGGATGACTGTTACCTTGTGAGCTAGATAGTCAAAAATCTTGCTCAGTGTTTTGGTCTAGCACCAATCATAGAACATGTATAATAACATCTCATTAACTGTTTATTCAGTAAACAGGTTATTGATGAACAATTAGCCATGAATAGGAAAACATATCACACAGTAAAACTGCAATGTATTTTGATACTAAATTTCAAAGATGGCCATTATGTGTAAGAATATAAAAGTATATGGTTACCATGAAGTTAATGAGCGATAAATGTAAAAACACATCATATGGTATAGCATGCTCACATGAATTTCAAATTTCAGGAAATTCTTTATTTGTAGTTTCTGTATCAAAGTTCAACAAAAAGTTCATGCATGACAATAATGTGTAATTTGCAATTGGTAATAAGAAGTTATTGGGCCATATATTTTAGAAGCATCATGCAATATAGTATGCTTACATGAAGCTCTATTCCAAATTTTGCAAAGCTCTGATTAGTAGTTCCTGAGAAAAATGTTACCTCAATAATTTCATGGGATGGGTTGAAGGACACACTGAAGGATGGACAGAGGTAATACCCCTCTGTTGGAGCAGGGTCTCATTAAATTTCTGAAAGTGACTAAATAATGAAATTTGAATGCAAAACTGCTATTGAAAGTTCAAAAATAGTACATGTAAAAGAACATACCAGGACTGTAACCTTTTATCTTCATCATCATATTAAGAAGATCTTGAAAGAGGTCATTCTCTACAAAAAAAAGATACACTTTATGAACTAGTTGTAATGGAGTATATATGGAACATGTATACACGTCACTTCCAAAGGGCTTTCTTTTCTTGTAATGCTTAAGTAAATAATTTGTAACTTCCTTTAATTAAATACTTACTAAGTTCAGTATTGCAGGCAGACTCCACTTTAACAATCATCATCAATAACATGAAAACTATCACAGTTGTCCTTAACATTGTGTTCAAGGGAAGTAACTTGTTTTATTCAATAAATGCTTTGTATGATTATTTTGCATCTTCAACTTGTATTTATACTTAACTGAAACCTTTCAAGCTGTTCTATGTGTCTCTCATTAAATGAAATATGATTCTTATTGATAAAATATGACATGCAACGTAACTAGTTCCAAGAATTTGATACAAAAATATTTCTCTGGGTCTTGTCACTCTGAAAAAAGAGTTGCTGAACCTTTTCATTTTGTAAATGAAGGACTGTCCAAACAGTCTTAATTATAACATTGTTAAAGATAAGTAATATTAGGGCAAAAAAAAAATAAACAATGAGCCCAGGAATTGAAAAGGTTATAACTCAAAATTTTTACTGCATTGCATTTAAACTTTAGGATTTTTAGTAATAAACATTATGTTAATTTCTATTTCTGATTTTGATAACTAGAGATTTAATATGTATGTATGAAATGCAACCCATCCAGTCAGGACAGATAACTGAGAAATGACATTAAATTCTCTAAGGTATTTTATGGTGCATTCAACTGTTTCATATAAAATGCTAGTTACATGTAATCCCAGAATATTTTAATTGCAATATAAGGAAATTTGATTTAATTTAATGTTTATTTACATTTCTGGTGAAAAAGTATCATGTTTTTTTGTGTGTATTTGGTAGTAAAAAGTAATTAGTTTGCTTGACATTAATGCATGATTAATTAATGATCAGATTGATTTTAAAGATTAAAAAAGATAAACTTGGTATAAGGGAAGACAACTCTCAAAAAAAAAATGTGTAGGAAAAAGTTGAAAACTAGTTTGTAGCTACTATAGCTCTTTCCAGAGCAGTATGTTGTAGGGTGGAATGAAAGTTTTTTTCAAATGATCAGTAACCAGTAAAATTCTTATAGTGTCTTAGTTTTGATTATCTAATTGTGCATGTATTATGCCTACATGGGTATTCACAAGGCTGGATTTCAGGTTTTTCTTGTTGGGGAGAATGCACAATGTGCATGGGGTGAATTACATTGCAATGTAATGCATTATATTACAATTACTTTGACCAAACCATGCATTATATTACAATTACAATTACATGCATTTATTAAAGTAATGCATTATATTACAATTACTTTTGCAAAGTAATGCCTTGAATTACACATTACATTTGAAAATTTTATTAGTGAATAGAAAAATTAAACATTTTGAAATACAACTAGAAGTCACAAAAGATTCTGGCATATGCAGTAACTGTTCCATTAATTGAATATAAGTATACATGTAAAAAGTCTATTTAATTTGACTTTTACAATTTTTAATTATTTTAACTTAATGTTGACTTTACTTTTATAAATATTTTTTTTGTTGTTTTTTTTTTAAATTTTAAACGAAATATTTAATTACTGTGAATTACTTCCCTAATTATAAAATAAACATAGACCTTAATTAATGAACAATTGCCTAAATGGTGAAAATATTGATTGTTAAACAAACTAATTAGTGTTTTATAACAAAGTTTAATTATCTTTTATTTAAGCAAAACAAAGATATTCTTTGATCTTATGACAACAATACAGCTATGCTTTTCAAATATCAATCTTTTTATGCAGGAAAATGTATGAAATAAGATGAAATAAAGAATATATTCTAATGATAAACATATTCTTAGATAATCAAGAAATCTTAAATTTGGTTTAGTTAAAACTCCAACAATATGTTAAAGATGTAGTATGTGAAAAAAATAATGACATGTAATGCCATGTAATGCATGAAATTACACAACTTTTGCTAAAGTAATGCATTATATTACAATTACATGTAATGCACAAATTGCTGCATTACACATTACATGCAATTACTTGGAAAAATGTAATGCATTACCATGCATTACAATTACAAATTTGCATTACCCCATGTGCATTGCACATGTTGTTCCCCACCTACAATAGTAGAGGGGCATTATGTTATCTGGTCTGCATTTGTCAATCTGTTCTGTTTCAAGGTAAGAAAGTTGGGTTTAAGGAAGGATAACATTTTGGTTAAGAATAGAGTGTGGTCACATCAATTAGAACCTTGAATACATGTGTATTTTGATGTGAATTGTTGGAAATACAAGCTTATTTTGATTTTGACCAAGATTTTATGGTTCTCACAACATGGAAATAAGATAGTGCCAGCAAGGCTTGGTGTCTTATGGAGCCATATCTTTATCTCATTATGTTTTTTGGGTAGACCTGTTTGAATATACCAGAAAAACACCTTATTTTTATTTCATTGTAAACTTAAGATAATTCTGATTCCAGTGATATCTAGTTTTATACAAATCTTTATAACCCAAATTACCACTTAAAGGTCACTTATAAATGGTACCTCAAAATATGATGTAGTACAAACTGGTTGCTTGTACCCTAGATACAGTGTACCAGATATGCAGCAAAAAATCTGATTCCTATTTAACATCAAAACTGTGTTGTTATTTTTGAAGATTTTACCAACTATGCTTGGAATATTCTTGTAAAAAGACAGTTTTCTTTTACAGTTATATTCAATTGTTGGGGGTATATTAAGACTGGAACTAATGGAGTCCCCAGACAGAGGAATTCAAGTTTCTATCAATAAAGAACTTGTAAACAAAGGATTTGCAGATGAAGCTGAAGAAACATACTTATCAAGAGTAAGTAAAAGATATTTGGTTATCAAAGTGTATATTGTTTATTGATAAGGCAATTTGAATTATATTCTCTTAATCTCTGATATTGTTCTTAATCAATTTGATACTTTTGATACGGTTTGGTTTAAACTTACAAATTGTAACTTGATTCAGGTTTAATTAAGGTTTTATAATGACTAACATTTAACTCAATTAGATGCACAGTTTGTATGTTATTAACCAGGGGGTTTGAAACATTTGGTTATATCAGCAACCTAAGATACAATACTTTATATCTTATATCTATATACTTTTATAGCAGTATTTAAAAAGGTATTGAAGACAGTTTTTTATGCTGTGAAATAACAGCTCATTTTAACAATGGATCAGGATGTAAAGGGATATATATTAAGAATACCTGACCAAATTATAACAAAAATCAATTGGTTTAAAAAAAGTGTGTATTGTATTTTTTTTGCAGCAAAATCATGAACAGCGAGAAATGGAAGCCAATGCTGTTGTTAGCCCTAGTAGAAGACTTCTGCAAGACGAAAAACCAACATTTAAGGACAGACAGAGTGACTGGTTCCAACTATCCCTAGGAAGCAATAGACCTGCATCTTCCAAAGGAAGAAGGACAGTTAAGGTGAATCTAAGGCAAAATTTCTATTTTTACACTAATTTCTTTCACAATTATATCCATTTGTCCCCGCCAAACATTGGAAATGGCCACCATCACTGTCATGAGACCGAATAAGTATTTTGTCTAACCAATACTTATTTTCCTAATAACCAAGGTCAATGAATTTCATATTTGGTTAAAAGAAAATAAAAGACTTATTTTATACATACATTTCAACGAAGACACAGTGCAGTACCATAGCATTAGTACCTCTAGAGACACGAAGACACATGTGGAAGGGAACAGTGGTTTAGGCCATACAGGAATTATATTTAAATATTTGAGAGGTAGATTGATACATCTATTTTCAACATGCAGATTATAAATCTTTTTATGATACTGTGGATTCATTTATTTTTGTGGATAATCTGATATATATACTAATTTCCATGGATTGAAGAAAAATTGTAGTTTCATGTATATTTGAATTAAGTGGTTTTGCCAAAATCTGCTTACAAACCTATAGTAAATTTTTACTTCGTTGAACATTATAAATTCATGAATCACCTATACCCACGGCAAAAAATCCACGAAAATTTGTTTCCAAGGAATAATAATAAAACCACAGTATCAAATATTCATTAGTTTTGGTATTAGTCTGTGAAGTTCATGTTGATTTAATAGTTTAATCACTTTATAATTGTATTTCAGCAAAAGTTAAATGGACCACATAATCCCTATGAAATGATGTTTAACAGTTTAACCAATGTTGGAAGATTGAGGTAATGTATGTTTTATATATGTATTTCATGTAACATGGTATACTGGTTGAGGACCAGTTACTGTCACCTGGCATTTAATGAAAAATCTGAAACTTTGTGTAAATAAGACATACTGCTGTTATATTCAGACAAATAGTTTTACATTTGTAAAATCTCTGATTTATTTGATCCAATAATGACAGGGAAATGCTGAATATTCAGGTTTTTTTATGCCCCACCTACAATAGAAGAGGGGCATTATGTTTTTTGGTTTGTGCGTCCGTCCGTTCGTTTGTTTGTTCGTCCGTCCGTTTGTCCCGCTTCAGGTTAAAGTTTTTGGTCAAGGTTGTTTTTGATGAAGTTGAAGTCCAATCAACTTGAAACTTATTACACATGTTCCCTATGATATGATCTTTCTAATTTTAATGCCAAATTAGAGTTTTGACCCCAATTTCACAGTCCACAGAACATAGAAAATGATAGTTCTAGTGGGGCATCTGTGTACTATGGACACATTCTTGTTTTATTAAATTGAGGATGTTCCTATAAAACAATATTCAAAAATTGTGAATCTATGATAGTAACTGGTACCAGACAAGTAAACCAGACTAAAATGAATCATTTTCTATATAAGTATTGTGTCAGAGTGCATAGAGAATCTTCTATCACAAGAAGCATAAATATATTCAATGTTTCACTTTTGGAAAAACTGCTTCAGTGTTCAAGCTTGAATCTCAGGGCAGAAGGGTGCTAGTTGTCTGAAGGGGCACTTTAGCGTTATAACCCACATTTTAAGGGCAATGTTGGACAGTGTATAAATTACCTTGAATATTGCTAGGCTCAGCTGGAGAACATTAGTTGTATTTAAACCATATTCAGAAATTAATGTGTTCTTGATGTTGGTTACAGTAAGAATTTTTTTTATCAAATTATCATACCATGTCAGAAGCAAAGCATATCATTTTGATGTTAATCTAAACAAACTTGTACATTTGGTAAGGAAAATAA